CTACTATCCTACTTCCCTTCAGAAGGACTCCATCAATGATAGAAAGCTCATCCCTGAAATGCTGATACGGGCTAGGTAGTGTCTCGCCTTCTGGTGAGTTGATTTTACAAATCACTTCTTGCAATACGCTGTCACTTGCTGTCGCGTCTGCAAACTCCATCCACTTATTTTTGGACACTGGTATCTGGCCCACAACACAATCCACATGAATTTGTACATCACTTTCCGTGTCACTTTTACCGGTGTTTTGCAGGCTGGCTCTGCTAAGAGCATCGGCCACTATCAAAAGTTTACCAGGAGTAAACTCAAACGTCAAATGATACTTCTGCAAACGCAACAGAAGACGTTGGATGCGTGGTGGTGCATCACCCAGGGCCTTTGTTGATATTGCGATCAGAGGTTTGTGGTCAGTCTCCACCATCACTTCCCTGCCATACACGTACTCATGAAATTTCTCACAGCCGAAAACTACGCCTAGTGTCTCTTTTTCAATCTGTGCGTAATTTCTCTCTGCTGCTGTCATTGTGCGTGATGCGTAAGCAATAGGAAACCACTCCGTTCCATGTTTTTGGAGTAATACTGCTCCAAGTCCATCTTTCGATGCATCGGTCGACACTTTGACCGGTTTTTCTGGGTCATAGTATTTCAGCACTGGCTCTTTGATGAGGCTGTTCTTAAGCACTTCCCATTCTCTTGCATGCTGGTACTCCCATTGCCATTCATTCCTTTTCTCCAGCAAACTACGCATTGCTGTTGTGTTGGTAGAAAGTTTGGGTATAAATTTACTCATGTAATTGACTAACCCCAATGCTCTCTGCAACTCTGTTTTGTCTTTAGGTGCTGGCATGTCAACTACAGCTCGCGTTTTTTCTGGGTCTGGCTGTATGCCTGCTGCGGATAGCTTATCTCCGAGGTAAGTGATCTCAGTCACTCCAAACTCACACTTTTGTCTGTTTAATTTTAGTCCTGACTTCTGTGTTTGTTTTAACACTTCACTGAGTCTTTTGTCATGTTCATTTTGCATTTTTCCCCATATTATTATGTCGTCCAGGAAAACTCCCACACCTTCCATGCCATCAAACAGCTGTTGCACTGTTCTATGAAAGACCTCTGGTGCTGAACAGATACCAAAAGGTAAGCGAAGGAAACAGTGTCGCCCAAAGAGTGTGTTGAAAGTACACAGTTTAGCACTTTCTTCATCCAGGACAATTTGGTAAAATCCTGATGATGCATCGAGTTTGGAGAAATAACGTGCACCTGACATTGCACTCGTTATGTCAGTCTTTGTTGGCAACTTGTAATGCTCTCTTCTGATCCACTTATTTAAATCTCTTGGATCTATACAAAGTCTGAGATCACCGTTTTTTTTCTCTACAATTACCAGAGAATTTACCCAATCTGTTGGTTCCTCTATTTTTTTTATTATATCCTTTTCAATCAAGGATTGTAATTCAGATCTCAGCCTTTCTTTGAGAGCTACTGGCACTTTTCTGGCTGGATGTATGACTGCTTGAGGATTTTCCTTCAGCTGTATTTTGTGTTTGCCTGGTAAACAGCCCACTCCCTCAAATACATCTTGGTAGTGTTTAACTATCTCGTTAACAGTAGTTACCATCTCATTCTGTTTCTCAACTGAGTCACTCTGTGTAACTGCTTTACTGTTAATCACATGAACTCTCTTTATGAGCCCCAAATTTTCACAGGCCTTCAGCCCAAGTATAGGCTGTCTGTTTCCCTCTACCAGTACACACATTACATTTACAGTCTGTCCTGTCTTTGCTGTAAGTGTGATCCTACATACCCCTTTTGTGGGAATCGGCTCATCATTGTAAGTTCGTATATTTATCTTTTTGTCTTGAACTTTCGGCTTTTTCCTCAATCTGTAGAAATCTTTCGTTGGCAGAAGGTTCACCTGTGCGCCGGTGTCCAGTTTAAAGGGTACAGTCACTCCATTGACATCTATATGAGCTATCCACTCGTCCTTGGTGCTCACTTCATCCACCTCAGCCTCCACAAAGAACTGCTCGTCCTCTTCGCTGTCACTGGCGTCCTTAGCTAATACTCAAACTTTCTTTTTAGTCAAGCAGCATCTTGCAAAATGATTTTTCCCCCCACACTTGCGACAGTCTTTGCCATAAGCTGGGCATTTCTGTGGTGCATGGTTGGTACCACATCTATTACAGTCCTTGCTCTCTTTTCTTCTCGGTTTGCAGTGTTTTTCTTTAACAGTTCTCTTTGTGCGTTCGTGCACGGCATCCATTGCTGCTGCAGACTCACTTCCCGCGTCGAATGATTTGAGTTGCACGTTCGCTCTCTCTGACGCTTGGCAGATTCGAATTGCTTTGTCCAAAGTCAATTCAGTCTCTCCGAGTAACTGTCTTCTTACTTTCTTATCTAGAAGGCCAATGACTATTTGATCCCTGATCATCGAATCAGACAAACTCTCAAAGTTGCATGATTGGCTTTTCAGACGTAAATCTGTCACGTACTGTTCAATAGTCTCTCCTTCTTTCTGCATCCGATTACGGAAAACATAGCGTTCGTACGTTTCGTTTTTCTTTGGTGTACAATATCCTTCAAACTTTGTCATAACAACATCGTACTTATCTTTCTCCTCCCCAGAGAACTGGAACGTGTTGTAGACATCTATCGCGGATCGGCCCGCCACCGTGAGAAGCAGTGCAATCTTCCTGCGGTCATCATCCCTCTCCAGCCCCGTCGCTAACAGGTATAGCTCAAAGCTCTGTTTGAAGGATTTCCAGTTTGCATGGACATTTCCGCTCAGATTCAGCTCGTTTGGCTGCCAAATGCTATTTATACTCATCTTATAACTTTAAATCGATTTCTCCTGGTACCATGTTTCATTTACATTGTAACACAGACCACCAACACAGATGCATTCGTTCCACACGCCATGTGCGTTGCTTTATTCTTTTCCTTTCCCGGTTGCACTTGCCTTACTCATTGCATTAGTGCCCCCTAGTGGCAGTCATCAGTACAGGAGGGAGAGGTTATTATGTGAGTATAGGAGACCATAGGTCTGAGTGGACATCCATGACATGCGGAGTCCCTCAAGGCTCAATTCTTGCACCACTCCTGTTCAACCTGTACATGCTCCCAATGAGCCAAATAATGAGAAAGAACCGAATCTCTTACCACAGCTATGCAGACGACACACAGCTCTACTTATCCCTATCGCCTAACGACTACAGCCCCATTGACTCCCTGTGCCAATGCATTGAGGAGGTAAACAGTTGGATGTGCCAAAACTTTCTTCAGTTAAACAAAGACAAAACTGAAGTCATTGCGTTTGGAAACAAAGATGAAGTTCTCAAGGTGAATGCATACCTTGACGCTAGGGGTCTAACAACTAAAAATCAAGTGAGGAATCTGGGTGTGTCTCTAGAGTCAGACCTTAGTTTCAGTAGTCATGTCAAAGCAATAACTAAATCAGCATACTATCACCTGAAAAATATTGCAAGAATTAGATGCTTTGTTTCCAGTCAAGACTTAGAGAAACTTGTGCATGCTTTTATCACCAGCAGGGTGGATTACTGTAATGGACTCCTCACTGGCCTTCCTAAAAACACCATAAGACAGTTGCAGCTCATACAGAACGCTGCTGCCAGGATTCTGAGCAGAACCAGAAAATATGAACACATCACACCAGTCCTCAGGTCTTTACACTGGCTCCCAGTTACATTTAGGATTGATTTTAAAGTATTATTACTGGTATATAAATCTTTTAATGGGCTAGGACCTCAATATATTGCAGATATGCTCACTGAATATAAACCCAACAGATCACTCAGATCATTAGGATCACATCAGCTAGAAATACCAAGGGTTCGCTCTAAGCAAGGAGAGTCTGCTTTTAGCTACTATGCCAGCCACAGCTGGAACCAGCTTCCAGAAGAGATCAGATGTGCTCCTACAGCAGTCACATTCACATCCAGACTCAGAACACTTCTGTTTAGCTGTGCATTTACTGAATGAGCACTGTGCCACTGTGTCCGACTGTTTGTACTGTATTTTATTTTATTTTTTATTCTAAACTGTTTTAATTATTCTTATTTCTTTTGATTTTTCTATGTAAAGCACTTTGAATTACCATTGTGTATGAAATGTGCTATATAAATAAACTTGCCTTGCCTTGCCTAGACCTCCATTCAGTCTGCACTCGTCCTGTGAGCGCCCTCATGTGGAGCCAGAGTGGAACTGCAACCAGTTCAGAAGCCGGAAGTTACTGAGAGTGGGAGTTCTCCCCTTATTAGACATTCTCTGGCTGTACACACACTTCCAGCTGTACACACACTTTCACCAGGACAGGAGCACAGGTAAGCGTCTTCTGTTCCTCAGCTCGGTGTGTGTGAAGTTTATTCTGAGCGTTTGTCTCACTCTTGAACTGGAGAATAAAGTTCATGAACCCGCTCGTGCGCACGAGTCTCAGCGGGAGCGCGCGCGTCATGTTTGTGTTTGAGAGCAAATGCTTTGGGTTTCTCTTCACACCTGTAAACAGTGCTGAATACCACATGCGATTAAACCACACCATCATTATCACCAAATCATATTTAAATACATAAATTAAAAGCCATACCTGTAAATGAGCAAAAATGTGTTGCAAGAAAGTTATGAAAGTGTTATTCCTGAATGTTCCCTGAGATTTTTTTTATTTTCTTGGTGTAACACACAAACATTAAGAGAACATTCCATTTGATCATTTTGTAACTGTGGTAGATGGGGAGAGTTATCTTTGTCATATTTGAATTGTACACTAGGTGGCAGTAGTTGCTCAGTCAAAGGAGTATGGGGGTATATAGCCGAGGAAGAATCTGCAGGCTCATGTTGTTGTACTGGCTGGTACTGTTTGTATGGATGTCCGGTGTTCAGTAAACTCCCAGATAAAGCTACATCGATGTCTGCTGTGTATTGATTAGTACTGAGGATACTACATTTGGCGACGAGGATGGCGGTTGAGCTCGGAAGAAGCTTGGGAGTCAATCACGCGGAAATTTGACGGAAGTGGATTGACGAGGCAGCTAACGCTAACCAAAACGTCGAGATGGCTACGGCGATGGTAGGAACACTTACTGCTTTTGACAATCAGTCCCAAACATGGGAGGAATACGTCGAGGTATTGGGACATTTTTTCGTGGCGAATGGGATTGAGGATGAGGAAAAAAAGAGGGCAATATTGTTAAGCTCTGTTGGCAGTCGGACATACAGTTTAATGAGGAACTTATTGAGCCCGAATAAGCCTGGCGAAAAATCATATAAAGATTTGACAGACCTGCTGCAGTCACATTATAACCCAAAGCCCAGTGAAATAGTCCAAAGATTTAAGTTTAATTCGCGGACTAGAGCCGTGAATGAAACTGTGATGGAGTACGTGGCAGTGCTGCGAGAGCTCGCGCAACATTGCAACTATGGCGATAAGTTAAAAGAGATGCTACGCGACAGGCTCGTGTGTGGCATAGCGGACGATCGCATGCAGAGGAGATTGTTGGCGGAGCCTGAGCTCACATTTGAGAAAGCGTTAAAAGTGGCACTGGCCATTGAGACAGCCAATAGGGATGTCCGTGATTTGCAATTGAAAATTGTGGAGGGCGTCGGGAGTAATGTCAGTAATCAACTACTAGTGCATAATGTGGAGTCAAACCCAAGCCATAAATGGCAAGGAAAAGCAACACCATTGACATGTTACCGGTGTGGGGGTGAACATATGGCAAGAGACTGTCGTTTTGTCAATGAAAAGTGCCATGGCTGTGGTAAAAAGGGACATTTGAAGAGAGTGTGCAAATCCTCACCTCTGGCTGACCAGTGGCTTAAGGGGGAGGGAAGAGGGAAGCACAAGCAGTCTGGAAGGTTTAGGAACGATAAAAATCAGTTGGCGCATCACATAAGTGAATCTGTGGAGAATGTCACGAGTGATGAAGATGTATTTACGATGTATAATCTAACAGAGCCAAAGTTAACGAAAATCGATCCCATTACTGCACAGCTTAACATAAATGAGAACATTGTGGAATTCGAAGTGGATACTGGCTGTAGTGTGACGATTTTGTCAAAGGCTGCATATGACAAGTTATGGACCGCAGGGGACACCCAAGAGTTGCACGACTGTTCAATGACGTTGAAAACCTATACGGGCGAAAAAGTACCAATACTCGGAGTGGCAAGGGTGACTGTGAGGTTCCAAGACCAAGTCAAACAGCTACCAGTAGTGGTGGTAACAGGGCCAGGTCCAAACCTGTTAGGCCGAGCTTGGATCAAGGAGCTGGGAATTAACTGTGTCAGTATAAATAAGATGGAGCAGCAAGAGTTAACATTGCAGTATGTGCTACGGAAAAATGAAGATGTGTTCAAGGAGGAACTGGGTACTTGGAGAGGTCCACCTGCAAAAATTTACATTACCGAAGGGGTGAGTCCAAAGTTTTATAAACCTCGGCCCGTGCCCTATGCCATGAGGAAAAAGGTGGAGGTGGAGTTAGAGAGACTCACAAAGCAGGGGGTTATTGAGCCAGTGAAGTTCTCAGAGTGGGCAGCACCGATCGTGCCTGTGTTAAAAGCTGATAATTCTGTGCGCATTTGTGGTGACTATAAGCTCACTGTCAACCAGGTATCGAAGCTTGAGCAGTATCCAATACCGAAATTGGAGGACTTGTTTGAGAAGTTGTCAGGAGGAAAAAGGTTCAGTAAACTGGATCTGAGCCATGCATATCAGCAAGTGGTACTTGATGAGACATCTAAGCCATATGTCACTATTAATACGCACAAGGGTCTGTTTCAGGTGAATCGTCTTCCATTTGGTGTTTCCTCCAGTCCAGCCATATTCCAACGGATGATGGAGAGTCTGGTGGCCGGCATCCCGAATGTGGCCGTCTATCTGGACGACATTTTGCTGACGGGCCAGAGTGACCAGGGTCACCTTGCAACGCTGAACCAGGTGTTGACACGACTGCAGGAAGCTGGTCTTCGCTTGAAGCGCAACAAATGTGTGTTCATGGAACAGGAAGCAGAGTTCCTGGGTCATAAGGTGGATGCCGCTGGACCTCATCCTTTGCCACACAAGGTCAGGGCAATACAAGAAGCACCGGCACCGACTAATGTCACAGAACTGAGAGCGTACCTAGGACTGCTTAACTATTACAACAGGTTCCTGCCACACCTGTCAACATTGTTGTCGCCTTTACATGAACTATTAAGGAAAGAAACCACTTGGAAATGGAAGGGCGAACAAGAGCACGCTTTTGAGGAGTCCAAGCGACTCATGCTGTCGTCTGATGTGTTAGTACATTATGACAGCCAAAAAGATCTGATCCTGGCCTGCGATGCCTCTCCTTATGGTGTGGGTGTGGTGCTGTCGCATCGCATGCCAAATGGGCAGGAACGACCAATCAGTTTCCTGTCTAGGACATTAACGTCAGCTGAATTAAACTACTCCCAACTGGACAAAGAAGGTCTGGCAGTGATATTTGGCATTCAGCGGTTCCACAAATATTTATATGGAAGGAGGTTTGTCATTTGCACGGACCATAAACCGCTACTGGCTCTCTTTAATGAGATGAAGGCTGTACCTCAAATGGCTTCACCTCGTATACAACGTTGGGCAGTTGCCTTGAGAGCGTATGAGTATGAGATTGTTTACAAGCCCGGAAAACATCATGGCAATGCGGATGCGTTGAGTCGACTTCCTCTACCTCAGCCGCCTGTCACGAAAGAGCAGGAGGAGCGAGTGCTGATGTTGGAGAACGTGACTCTCGTCTCAGCAGCAGAAATGAGTAGATGGACAAGCAGAGATCCTGTGTTGTCCAGAGTGGCGCAATTCGTCCAACATGGTTGGCCGCCACCAGACGGAAATCCAGTTTTCCAACCATATGCTGTGAGGAAAACCGAGTTAAGTGTGCAAGGTGGATGTGTACTGTGGGGCTCACGAGTAGTGGTGCCGCCGCCAGGCCGGAACGCCTTGATACAGCAGCTACATCACGGTCACATCGGCATCACTAGAATGAAGGCATTAGCACGAAGCTACTTCTGGTGGCCCAAGTTAGATGCGGACATTGAAGTGGTCGTTAAAAGATGTGTAGCATGCCAAGAACATCGTAATTCTCCAGCTCCAGCACCTCTTCATCCCTGGGAGTGGCCGAGCAAACCCTGGCAAAGGTTACATGTTGATTATGCAGGACCTTTTATGGGACACATGTTTTTGGTTCTGATGGACGCGCATTCCAAATGGATGGATGTGTACCCGGTAACGACCTCAACTTCAGCCAGCACGATTGAATGTCTAAGGAAGAGCTTTAGCAATCAAGGAATACCGGAGACAATGGTGTCCGATAACGGCTCATGTTTTGTGAGTACAGAATTCCGAGAGTTCATGCAGAAGAATGGGATCGAACACATCACTTCTGCTCCTTATCATGCTTCCTCTAATGGTTGTGCTGAACGCGCAGTCCAGACATTCAAGGCGATGATGAAGAAGGCAGGTGAGGGAAGCCTAGCCACTAAAGTATCACGGGTGTTATTTAGTTATCGCATTACACCACAGTCCACTACGGGGCTGTCGCCTGCTGAAATGTTACAAGGCAGGAAGTTGAGATCGACATTAGACTTTATTCATCCGGACCGCCGAAGGAGGGTGGAACGGCAACAGAGCTTTCAAAAGAAACATCATGATAAGCAAGGTTCCGGGAGAAGTTTCCAGGAGGGAGATGCAGTGATCACAAGGAATTTCAGTCATGGACCTAAGTGGATTCCCGGGTTCATTATCAAGATGACAGGTCCTGTCTCTTACAAGGTCATGTTAGGAGGTGGCAACATTGTGCGCAGACATGTCGACCAGATATTGGCCAGTTCTGAGGATAAGGACTGGATGGTACCAAAGATTCTGGAACCCTTGGGGTTGTCTGAATCTTCAGCGGCAGCTGTGGCAGCATCAGAGATATCCATTCCCGAGGAAACCTGCGTTGTTCCAGAGACAATCACTCAAAGTGTGGGAAAACCTGTTTCAGAAAAGGCCAAACCAGTAGTGATGGACTTTCAACCTCCAGGTACTCCAAGGCAGTCACTATCCTCGATTGCCCCGGTACGCCGGTCGTTGAGAACTGTTTCGAAACCAAGTTATTTGAAGGACTATGAGTGTTAAAAAAAAAAAAAAAAAAAAAAAAAAAAAATTAAGTTAAATATGACTGACACATGTTAAAGTGATGTTGGGGGTTTGGAAGAAGGCAGGAGCTTAAGGGGGAAGGAATGTGGTAGATGGGGAGAGTTATCTTTGTCATATTTGAATTGTACACTAGGTGGCAGTAGTAGCTCAGTCAAAGGAGTATGGGGGTATATAGCCGAGGAAGAATCTGCAGGCTCATGTTGTTGTACTGGCTGGTACTGTTTGTATGGATGTCCGGTGTTCAGTAAACTCCCAGATAAAGCTACATCGATGTCTGCTGTGTATTGATTAGTACTGAGGATACTACAAGGTGCCGCCAGCCGACCGTCTTAATGAGCGAGTCATTGATTCATTCGTTCAAACGATTCGTTCGAACGGCTGAGTCATTCATGAATGAGACAGATTATGGATTGGTCGTTGAATCTTTGAGTCAACCGATTCGTTCAAAATGCTGAATCATTCAGTAATGAGAACGCGTTGCTGTGAGATGCTCGATGGTTCTGCTGTGATCTTTGTTTAACTATTTTCGCTGCTGAAACAGAAAAAAAAGTCAATATTGCATCTAAAATGTAAGTGATTTGACGTGTGTGTGTGTGTGTGTGTGTGATTGTGTCTGTTACAGTGATTGTTTAACCCTTGTTAAAGTTTAGGCCTTGTCTTTTTGGATATATATCTTTTTATATTAAAAACATAGCATACAACCCATATATTTTAAATGTATTTGTCATGATATGAAGCAAGACACGGGTCGTGGTCTTGATTAAGATCGTTTTATTCGTCTAGTACAGAATAGCATAAGTTATGCGTTCGACTCTCGTGGTTAGCATACCCAGAACTACGGTAGCTTCACCTGGACAAAAGACAATCTCACAACAGTTACAGTATTGTTTGCTTTAAATTACATTGAGATTTGTATGTTTGGTAATTGAACCTGAATGAATTATAAATGAATGTGCTATATTTCAGATCATATATTTGTTTTCCTTAAAATTTGAACTAACACTAACTTTATTCTCATCTGAATGATAGATTATTTATTTATGTATAAAATAAAAACACATTTGATTTTTCTTTTTTAATCAATGTAGAATGTGTAACTGAAAAAATAAACAGATTAGGGCTCTGAGGACAATAAATGAAAACCAATGCAATATGATGAATGTCCAAAAGATTTGTTTTGCTTTTAAACTATGAGTGTGTGTGTGTGTGTGTGTGTGTGTGTGTGTGTGTGTGTGTGTGTAAGATATTTTGGTTGGGTGACAGTTGTAGTTTACAGTTTGACAAAAGCACAATGTTGTGTTTTATTGCGATTGTACACAAATATAAGTAAACACTTTGCAGTTTGAATAATGTCCTGTATGAACAAAAGGACGGAGTATGTTTTTATGTCTACATTGTTCAATCACGCCTCACACACACACACACACACACACACACACACACACACACACACACACACACACACACACACACACACACACACACACACACACACACACACACACCAACTATTTTTCTAATCAGATCAGGCAAATATTCTGTCTTGGCACACTTCATATAACTTTCAAACTTGTGTACTTATTTCATGTGTCCATTAAGTCCATGAGACCGTAGGGTGTCTCATTTTTCATTTTAGGTTTCAGAAGGTTGCTCACGCATACTTTGTGGTTGATATGTGCCCTCAATGCACACTTTTGCAGAGCCCACACCAATGCAAGCTCTACAGCACACATCTTCTCAAAGGTCAAAGCGGAGTTACGATATTGCCCGTCATGCACAGTAACCCTAAAGGCACCGGGGTGGCGGTGCCACCGGCTTGTTTATATATATATATATATATATAAAGGCACCGGGGTGGCGGTGCCACCGGCTTGTTTATATATATATATATATAAATATAGCTGCGAGCAGCGATGAAGGGCCAAAGCCGGCGGCACCGCCACTCCGGTGCCTTTAGGTAACTAAAGGCACCGGGGTTGCGGTGCACACCGGCTTGGGCCCGTAATCGCTGCTCGCAGCTATATTTATATATATATATATATTTATATGTTTAGTTTTCTTCTTCCTCTTCATCCTTGTTTGCCCATCTATATTTTGCTGTAGAGCTGATCTTTCCCAGCAGTTTTTTGAAAACCAGGACATTTTCATCACTTTATAAAAAACAGCCAGGACAGGACGTGAAAACAGGACGTTTGGTCACACTATTTTAGTGTTTAAATGTCATGTGTTCTGGCTCCATCCGTCTTTTTACAGTCAGAGTCTTTAATATGAGTATTTCATTTTGCGTGCAGTATTTCAAACTATATTTGCTCTCCATGTACAAAACTAAATATCATCAACCTAAAAGCTTTAAAGACCATTCAAACATATAGACAGTCCTCTCAGAAATCTGACTGGACACAATCAAGCTTTATGACAGGAGACTCATCAACATGTGAACTTTTTGATGAACTCAGAGCTTCTCCTGTTTTGGCTGTTAGACCCGAGGTGTTTAAACATTCGATAAACATGCACAACTTGTGAAACACGAGTGTGTTTAAATTATTTTTTTTCATACAGAAACGTTATATAGGACAGGTTATGCATCCAATTTAAATACAGATGACATGGGCAATAAAACAATGTATTACAACAACATTACAACATTGTTTTTCATTTAAACATTTTAATTCAGATCCATTTTAACAATGACACAACTGTAAGGGTACATTTTTATGCAGAATTCGGAAAAAGAGAACAATCCAACTTGGAAACAGGAGTCTTTGTACTCTTCACTATATAGACCACCTCACATGGAAGCTCTGACTTTAACCTCTTCTTTATCTCTACGACTTCAAAGACCTCATAGGGAGGAATCAGCACTTCTGCTTCTGCGTCCTCAAATTTAGAATAGATGGAGACATCTACTCCCATGCACGTTTCAATCTGAAAGCATGACTTCTCTCCGAACAACTCTTTGTTAGGGTAAAGCTTATTCAGGGTGGCTGAGGTGAAAGAGCCAAAGCGAAACTGTGTGTTTATAACAGGTTGGCTAAAGTACCTGTTGACTCTACGGTAGCCAGTGAGACAATATTTTGTATTTCTTAGTTTTTCCTCAAAGGCTCTTTCATCTTGAATGGCAGTAGTCAGGAGAAAGTGAAGTGCGTGATACCTGAATGTGGTCTCATACTGAGGTCCTTGGGTTCGAACTGCAGTGTTGAAATCAAGATACGCATTGTCTTCGCCAGAGGTGTAATAAGAAATAGCTACAATCTGATCTCTTCTTAGTGAGTGGGTCCCCTCCTTAAAATTTCTGAGATCATTTGAGCTCTCCCAGACCTTTTTGAATTTTTGGTCTTTGTTCTTCTCATCCTCCAGGTCTGCCGATACCCTCTTCTTCATTTGATCTTTGCACCTGTAGTACATGTCGTCAACGGAGTTTTCAGCCATGTCCAGTGGAAGCACACTGTTTTCCCCAGCTACAGCACTAGATGTACCTGCCTCCTTCAAAGAAATAATAGACATTTTAGAACAATGAATCTTGTTTTCTGGTCATCTTATGGATGTTAGTGCAGAGCAGTTACAATGAAGCAACCCTACCATTGCAATTCCTGTAGAGACTCCATAAGTGAGAAGCACTGCTGCCAAAACGACCATCATTGCCATCTTCCACCAAAGCAGAAACCTGGAGACTGTTGTGGAAAATCTCTTTGGTGTTCAGTGATGAAGCTGGAAAATAAGATTGTCTGAAACACTGGGTTTATCTATGTTATTTTATGTATTATCTTGCAAGTAGAAGGAGGCAGTTTAACAGTGTCAAGTCTGCACAATTGCGTTGAGGAATCAAAGGCTTTCCCAGAGTTTTTATGGGCAAGCATGCAGGGGGAGGGACTGAATTATTGTCGACTCAGCAATCCTGGTCCAATGGCTCCTTTAGACGTCTTCGAGGGGAATCCATAATGTATCACCTTCTATGGTCTGGTTATTCCAGTACTGTCCACGTTCATTTTCATGAGAGGCTGTTTGAACAAACTAAAACAGTTGTAATTTCATAGGAAATTTAGATTCTAACACACTTGCATTTTGTCCCCAAAAGAAAGATAAGTCCACTCCCAACAATGAGACTGTTCACTAATGTTTGTCCCCACAACAGGAATAATACACATTTGAGCAACTTCCTCACACCACAGACCTCGGCTGATCAGTCTGAGTTCATCTGTCTGTTCATCCACCGCTCACATCTTTAACACATCACACATGAAAATAACACGTTCTCTGTCTTTCATTTGTTAGACAATAGTGGGTGTAGAGAAAGGATGAATGTTTTTAGATGTTTACAATTAGCTGATATTTTGAGTATATTGTAATTTTTACAAGTTAAGATGGACTCTTAAGCTGCACCAATTCTTAATTATGTGTGGTTTCCTTTGTTGTTGTCAGATCTTTGAGCTGGTTCATGACAGTGACCATGAGGTCTTATCTTCACAGTTCTGTATAGCGTACACATTCAAATCACATTTAAATTCAAAGCAAATTTGCAGCGCTCCATGTAAGAGAGACAAAACGTCTCCTCCTGTTGAGAAAAGCTTGACCTGAACACATAAAATGATATGCAACCTCACTAATGCCTTTTTTAAGCTGTCTTAAATGCACAAACAGTTTCCAGCAAAGTGCAGTTAAATATTAAATATGTTTTAGTGTTTAAATGTCATGTGTTCTGGCTCCATCCGTCTTTTTACAGTCAGAGTCTTTAATATGAGTTTATTTCATTTTGGAAGAGACCTAAGGTGGTGCGGGGCTAGTGGGTGGTCAGGAACTTCGGAGGCACCATTGGGTGTGCAATACCACGTGCAGTGGCTGGCTTACGGCCGAGCTGGACCTAGGAGAGGACCAGAGGCCTGTACTATGAATCAAGATCAACATGCCCTGGATTTCTTTGTTACCCGGCTTCACTAACCCTAACAACTGCGGTCCCACATGACCTGTCACGACGGTGGTTAACCCACAACATAAAGACACGCAAATAGCCCACAACACACAACATAAAGACAACACGCGCAATAATCATTTAAATGACAGTATCTTTAGTGTTTGCCGTACATTTGTTATCACCGTTAATGTGTTACATCAATGTAAAGCTTACTGCTTTAATGCTGGTTTAAATTGCTATAATAATTAGGTAGATATACATCCCGAGCTAACGTTAAGCTACCTGAACATATCATTTAACATTAGGTTGTTAGCTGGATTGCTGTCTTTGTGCCATTTGTTTAATATCCAGTGGCATTTTCATCTTATTTTATATGCTGTTACTGCTAAATCATGTTAGCAGAGATTTAGAAATTGTTTATGAGTTAGCTGCAGGATGGGAGGTAAAGCTGCATCTTGTTTACTTATCTAGCAACATTAAATGAAAGCTACAATGTATAAGTATTTTCCAATGTAAAAAAAATAACGTTCCGTAACATTACATTAGCATTCATAAACGGTAAACATCTTTTTCTTGTGTTTGCTGTCTTTTAACAGGGACAAAGGAACAAACGGAGGCGGTCACTGAGGATGGAAAAGCCAGAAGGGAGAGATGAGGAGGGGAGCAAAAGCAAAAGACAAGCAGGGAGACAGAGGCCAAAGAGAAAGTTGAATAGATTATTTGCTATATTATGATTGCCATTCAAAAAATAAATGCATTAAATTAACTGGTTTGTCCTTGTCTTTAAGTTTTTGGGTGTGTATATAGTATAAACTGTTTTTCAATGTCTATTTTTCAATCAAATTATGACCTGGACACAGGAAACTTCTAACTGAATAATTATTAGGTTAGTCCAGTAGTTATCCAACCTGTCCTGGTAAGATTAGAATTGTATTTAAGCATACTGTAACCATGGAGGTACTTCATGTAACTGTGTAGTGGTGTAGTTTCTTCATCATTGTCTTAACTGACTGTTGACCATTTAACACACTTACACCTTTACTTAGGGTGACCATATTTTGATTACCGAAAACCAGGACACTCTGCACGACAATGAGATACTCAAATGATATTCGAAGTTTACTCAAAGATGCCTTTTTCAATATTATTAACTCGTCTTTATTCTTAGGTCATGTTCCAAGAATATTCAAGTTGGCAGTAATAAAACCTCTCATTAAGAAACCGCAACTAGATCCAAATAACCTAGCAAATTACAGACCCATTTCAAATCTTCCATTTATGTCCAAAATACTAGAAAAAGTTGTATCCGCTCAACTGTGCTCTTTTTTGCAAGAAAATGATATCTATGAAAAATTCCAGTCAGGATTCAGACCGCATCATAGTACAGAAACTGCGCTAGTTAAAATTACAAATGATCTACTCTTAGCTTCTGACCAAGGCTGTATCTCAATACTAGTCCTACTTGATCTTAGCGCCGCGTTCGACACTATAGATCATAAAATACTCTTGGATCGACTACAAAACTACACTGGTGTTCAGGGACAGGCATTAAGCTGGTTTAGATCGTACTTATCTGACCGTTATCATTTTGTCTCTTTACACGGGGGAAAATCAAAGTTAACGTCAGTAGACTACGGAGTACCGCAAGGATCGGTGCTAGGCCCTCTGCTATTCTCAATATATATGCTGCCACTTGGTAATATTATAAGAAAACATGGAATTAATTTCCACTGTTATGCTGATGACACTCAATTATATATTTCATCACGACCAGATGAAAACATTACCTCATCTAAATTGACAGAATGTCTCAAAGATATAAAATGCTGGATGACGTGTAATTTCCTGCTATTAAATTCAGATAAAACGGAGGTATTACTTATTGGTCCAAAAAACTACACACAAAACCTCTTACAATACGACTTTAATATAGAAGGATGCCCTGTTACTTTTTCCACTACAGTAAAAGACCTGGGTGTTATACTAGACCGCAACTTGTCTTTCGAAAATCATATTTCATCTGTTACAAGAACAGCCTTTTTCCACCTTAGAAACATTGCTAAATTACGTAACATACTATCTGTTTCTGATGCAGAAAAGTTAGTTCATGCATTCATGACCTCGAGACTAGATTACTGTAATGCTTTATTAGCTGGTTGTCCTGCATCCTCAATAAACAAGCTACAGTTAGTGCAAAATGCAGCCGCTAGAGTTCTTACTAGATCAAGAAAATATGATCATATAACACCGATTTTATCATCTCTGCACTGGTTACCTATTAAGTTCCGTATCAATTACAAAGTACTACTACTGACCTATAAAGCCCTTAATGGTTTAGCTCCTATGTACTTAACGGACCTTCTTTCGCCCTACAATCCACCGCGTTCTCTAAGATCACTAAATTCAAGGCTTCTGGTCATTCCTAGGATATCGAAGTCCACGAAAGGAGGGAGGGCATTCTCGCATTTAGCTCCAAAACTCTGGAATAGCCTTCCCGATACGGTCCGATGCTCTGACTCGCTGACACAGTTTAAAACTAGACTAAAGACGTGTCTCTTTAGTCAAGCATTCACATAATGCTTACCTTTTAGTCCTCTGCTATGCCATACGGAACCGTTTGCCACTGAAACTCCTTAACGCACCAGTGGGGCTCGACAGCCTTATAGACAAACGGGTCGGTCCGTATGGTTGCGGTTGGGTTGCGGAGAGTTTGGGTTGCGGAGAGTTGTGAGATTATGGTTTTCTAACACCTACTCCCGTGTAATGGAAATCATTATGAACATCAGCTATGCTAATTATTTCCCATCTGCCTTTCTGCTGTTATCTCGGGACGCTTGTCCCGAGAAAAATGGCGTTCGTAGGCTCCAGTTTGGTATCCTGCCTCTCACGGGGATTTCGGATGCCTCAACGCCTGTGATGAGAAGACCAACGCCTGTGAAGAGACGACTCAATGCCTGCGAAGAGACGACTCAACGCCGGCGATATGTTATCCCCTAAATATTACATGATTAACTAAATGTATTTTTTTCCAGGTACTCTCTGATATGCACTTACTGTAAAGCTTCTTTAAAACCCTATGATTGTTAGCCAGAGGAGAACTGGCCCCTGACTAGCCTGGGTTCTCCCAAGGTTTTTTTCTCCATCCAATCTGATGGAGTTTTGGTTCCTTGCCACTGTCGCCTTGCTTTTGGCTTGCTTAGTTGGGGATATTTAATATTCAACAATATTATTGAACTGTGTTGTACTACTTTCATGTTATCACTGTGAAGCTGCTTTGATGCAATCTGTATTGTGAAAAGCGCTATATAAATAAATGTGACTTGACTTGACTTGACTTTTAAAGGCTATACCTCCTCTGTATGGATAGAACATTTTTATATTACAAAATACTATCTGTAACCAAAGACACAAATTCAGATAGGCTTCTCAGAGGTTACTCAACATGTTTTATTATGACAGGTTTAAAAAATAATGAATGATATAATGTCTCTTCTGTATTAGAAAAATAAATAATAAATAACTAAAAAAATACCTCCAAATTGAACAGCTCTCACAAACTTACAAAAACTAACTAACAAAATATATTTATATGTTTAGTTTTCTTCTTCCTCTTCATCCTGTTTTTCTTCCTCATCCTCCTTGTTTGCCCATCTATATTTTGCTGTAGAGCTGATCTTTCCCAGCAGTTTTTTGAAAACCAGGACATTTTCATCACTTTATAAAAAACAGCCAGGACAGGACGTGAAAACAGGACGTTTGGTCACACTATTTTAGTGTGTTAGTGGGTGTTTATCAATGGTGTTATTTTGACTTTTCAAATGTTGGTTGTAGTTTGTATGTCTACAGTACTATTTAACCTTTCTCATTTGCAGTTTTCTGCATATTACAGGAATTACTAAAGTCAAGTCAAATTATTGGAGGTCTGCACTGATTTACATAGGTGTATGAACCCTTTTTAACTTATCAACTTGCTGCCATCTAAGCCTGTTTATGTGATTGTTGTCAATAAATTGAATTGAAACGACAACTGGGTTGAACATTTTAATGTGCACCATAGATAGGCTTTACAGTTTGGCTGTAAACTTGGTAAACTGCCAAACTTTACAATTAGCTGATATTTTGAGTATATTGTAATTTTTACAAGTTAAGATGGACTCTTAAGCTGCACCAATTCTTAATTATGTGTGGTTTCCTTTGTGTTGTCAGATCTTTGAGCTGGTTCATGACAGTGACCATGAGGTCTTATCTTCACAGTTCTGTATAGCGTACACATTCAAATCACATTTAAATTCAAAGCAAATTTGCAGCGCTCCATGTAAGAGAGACAAAACGTCTCCTCCTGTTGAGAAAAGCTTGACCTGAACACATAAAATGATATGCAACCTCACTAATGCCTTTTTAAAGCTGTCTTAAATGCACAAACAGTTTCCAGCAAAGTGCAGTTAAATATTAAATATGTTACACTATATATATATATATATATATATATATATATATATATATATATATAAAACAGTATAAAAAAATTTGTTTATAATAAACATATTTCATATATTTCTCGACATATATAATTATATATATAAGTGATATTGATTCTATATTCATTCATATATTTTTATACTATACGTGACTGGAATAATAATCATTATTGCGTTTGGGGGCTTTTATTTTGAAAAAAACAAAAACACACTTGACTGCATCTTATTTTGAGAGCACGCGTGATGTGCGGGGAATCTCAGTGCGAAAGGAAAAGACAAACAATAAAAAGTCTACACTCAGTAGATTAAGCGAAATTAAACAGCTTTAATAACTAAAATACTTGAATCCTCGCTTTCAATCACGTGACTCAGAGACGCCCGCGTGACCTTCGCGTACACGCGCAGCCCCAAGCAATGGCTGAGAGTGGCGCTAAAGAAGATAAAGAGCTCGAGAGTGACGCGAAGGACGAGAACTATGGCTATAGTCTATATCCCGAGCGAAGCGGCGGCAAGTACAAGCAGGGCTCGATCGGGGAGAGCCTCTTCACCTTCAAGCACAAGTGTCACATCATGCTGCAGTTCGCCATGGACACTAGTAAGGGCACATCAGCGCCTGTGCGCGTGCACGCGGCGCTCGCTCACCTGCTTCAGATGTTGTTTCTGGGGTTTATGATCGAACAACAATATTCATGTCATGTTTAAGATCAACTATATGCTGTATGGAAGCCACATGAGATAAATAGTCATAATTATGACATAAAAGTAGAAATTATGACAGTCATTTGTTTTAGATTAAGGGTGAATCCCAATCCTCTGTCTTTCCCCTTCCCCTTAGTTTTACACTTTTACAGGACTGTCCCAATTCTCTAAGACTAAAATTTATGAGATAAAAAGTCATAATTATGACATAGAACAATTTTGACTATTTATCTCACAATTACGACTTTTATGTCTGAATTTCCACTTGATCATGATTTTGTCTCTTTATCTCGTATTGTTCATCTCATTATTTTGAACAATTATCTAATTTCTATTTTAATGTCATAATTATTACTGTCATAATTCAGGTTTTTTTGGTCATTTTGACTTTAATTTCATGACTTGGTATTTTAAAAATTCTACTTTTTAATCAGGAGTTTGACTTTTTATCTCATAATTATTACTGTCATAATTTTGACTTTTTTATTTCATAATTATATCTCATTATGACTCAGTATGTGATGATAATGTGTGTAGTACACTATGAAGTGTTGAGTATTGTCTCTCTCAGGCCCGTATGCTAAGCTCCTGCTGGCCGCGATGAGGAGCTCGGGCTGGTAAGAGCATCTTCATCATCATCATCATCATCTTCCTCGTCACATGACTGATGTGTGTGTCTCTCCTCAGCGCGGTTCATAAAGACCGGCACTTCTCGTGTGAGGACTGTGATGGGACGGTTAGCGGCGGGTTTGACGCCGCCACCTCTCAGGTGTGTGTGAGGAAGCTGTGTGAGCTGAACACACACGTGCTGGTGTGTGTCTGACCATGTGTGTGTGTGTGCAGATCGTCCTGTGCCAGAACAACATCCACCAGCAGGCTCACATGAACCGCGTGGTCACGCACGAGCTAATCCACGCCTTCGACCACTGCCGCGCGCGAGTCGACTGGTTCAGCAACCCCAGACACCTGGCCTGCTCAGAGGTGTGTGTGTGTGTGTGTGTGTGTGTGTGGTTTCTGTCCTCTCCTGCACACCTGGCCTGCTCAGAGGTGTGTGTGTGTGTGTGTGTGGTTACTGTCCTCTCCTGCACACCTGGCCTGCTCAGAGGTGTGTGTGTGTGTGTGTGTGTGTGGTAACTGTCCTCTCCTGCACACCTGGCCTGCTCAGAGGTGTGTGTGTGTGTGTGTGTGTGTGTGTGGTTACTGTCCTCTCCTGCACACCTGGCCTGCTCAGAGGTGTGTGTGTGTGTGTGTGTGTGTGTGTGTGTGTGTGGGGTTACTGTCCTCTCCTGCACACCTGGCCTGCTCAGAGGTGTGTGTGTGTGTGTGTGTGTGTGTGGTTACTGTCCTCTCCTGCACACCTGGCCTGCTCAGAGGTGTGTGTGTGTGTGTCGTTACTGTCCTCTCCTGCACACCTGGCCTGCTCAGAGGTGTGTGTGTGTGTGTGTGTGTGTGTGTGGTTACTGTCCTCTCCTGCACACCTGGCCTGCTCAGAGGTGTGTGTGTGTGTGTGTGTGTGTGTGGTTACTGTCCTCTCCTGCACACCTGGCCTGCTCAGAGGTGTGTGTGTGTGTGTCGTTACTGTCCTCTCCTGCACACCTGGCCTGCTCAGAGGTGTGTGTGTGTGTGTGTGTGTGTGTGTGTTCACTGTCACTCTTGGTCATTTTTGAGCGAAACATTTTTAATTTGTTTTTTTGTTTTCTTTTTCTACTTCATGGGAATGGTCTGAAACTCGGTACAGGTTTTGTCACTTGCTGTGTGAACACACACACACATAAATCATGGCCATGATCTGAACAGGTTTAATGGTCCTGTAACAATATTCACACTTGAGCTCCTCGCGGTCAGGAATGGCGCACTGGAAATGAAGAGAGAGTTTCCTCTAGTGGAAGCGTTTGGAACTGCAGCCGAACAACATCTCACTGGAAGATCATTCACTGAGAGATCAGCCTCACACGCGGAGACCCCGCTGGACACGCTAGCCTCGCATCCACTCAGCTTTACAGGAAAACGCGGTTTTGAAAACATACATTTCATATAAAAATTGAAAATAGTATTTTTGTGCATTTTTCATAACAATAAACGTCAAATTCTGGTCATTTTAAATTCACTTTTTAAAACGTTTCTCACTTCAGCAATAATCTGCCGAGTGTGTGTTTGAGAAGAGATCAAACTTCAGTCTGTCCTCTAAAGCGTTAGAGATTCACCACAGTTTAACTTGGAAATTTAATTTTCAGGTCTATGCTCAAAAAGTGAATAAATGGATTATAAATACAGTGGAAATATAATTTAGTACCATAAAATCCCCTAAAAATACAAAATATTAAATAAAAACATTATCAAACTAAAATATAGTACATTCATTTCATTGAAAACACGAAGAGGACCAGAGGGTTAAAACGTGTGTGTGTGTGTGTGTGTGTGTTCACTCTCGCTCCTGCAGATCCGGGCCGCCAATCTGAGCGGAGACTGTTCCTTCCTCAACGAGGTCTCCAGATTCAACTTCGGCCTCAGAGAACACCATCAGGTAACTCAGAGTAACAGTCATGTGACTGAGTCCGGAAGGGTCATGTGACCGTCTCTAAAGGTCATGTGACTGTGTGTGTGTGTGTGCAGGAGTGTGTGCGGAGTCGAGCGCTGCGCTCCATCCTGGCGGTGCGTAAGGTGAGCAGGGAGGAGGCGGAGCTAGTGGTTGACGAGGTGTTTGACAGCTGCTTCCGAGACCACGCCCCCTTCGGGTGGATCCCACACACCAAGATGGATGCCAGGTTCTCCTTCAGGGACTTCGAGAGCCGCGACCGCTACCATGCTAACCTCTGATCACACGCGTGACCTTCACTGACACACTGAGGAGCGTCACTCGCGTCGAGCTCACACTGGCCTCTGTCATCACCGTCACTGGAGCGTATCCGAGCGTCCATGATGTCACTGAAGTGTATCCGAGCGTCCATGATGTCACTGAAGTGTATCCCAGCGTCCGTCACCGATGGGCTCTGCTTTCTCTACTCCTTTGAGAACATCGGCACATATGAGACTGAAAACCTCACGATTAAAGGATAGTTTCCATTCGAATCATTAAGAATGACTGCAGGTTATTGACCATGATCGTATCCCCCGTGAGACAGCAGTGCAGTAGCGTCTCGCATCCACACGGTGGCGCTGCTCTCCAGACCAACAGAACCGGCTCCTACGGGACAACAAGAACTAAATATTTAAAATAATGATGGTCATAATGAGATAAAAAGTCAAAATTATGCCATAGTTTATTGGCGAATTGTGATTTACAAAACTTTTTTTTTGTTGTGGAAATGAATTTATTTTGAAGAGCCACAATCCTACGTTCAAAACTCATATAAAGCACTTCTAATTGACCGTTCGCAGGCCCCTCCCCCAAAACGGCTATTGTCCAATCACACATCATAGCAACCGTTACTATGTGAGCAGGTCCGTCAAACATTGACTCCAAGCAAGATGGTGAAGCTGTGCGCCCACGGCGTTTGTAAATCGGACACTAGATACCCCGAGAGATTGTCTGGAGGAGTTGTGTTCTTTCCGTTTCAAAAGCCGAAAACACAACGTGCGCGGTGCCTACAATGGATCAAACAGTGTGGACGGCCCCACTCCCAGTTACATGTGTCGAACATGGTTAACTCGCGTGCAGCGTGCGTGAGACTGAGACAATTAGATTAGTCAAAGACACATGGAGAAAGCAGATCAAGAGGATCCACAAAGGAAGTACGTTTTCTAAAGTGTTGTTGTTAACATGATATTTTAGGGGGGAAATGAGCAGCAGCACCTGTAGACTACAGTTCAGACTAACGTTAGAGGAGTGCACGTTCGCAACGGGGAACGCATGAAGCTTACTTGACAACATCAGTTCATATCAATATCGTAACGAATAGAAATAATGTATGGTTATCTGCATCTTTCCGTCTATTATGTATAGTTACTTTTTAAACACGAAAATCGCATTTAGCATGACACGCAAGCGGTTGCCGTGGTAATGAACAACCTGCTTGTTAAAGCGAATGAATAATCCTGTATCTGAGGCAAAATTACTAAATATGCAGCGCGAGTTATATATTTCTAACTCCAAACAATTAGCCACTGAAACAGCTTATAGAATCTTCTTCAAGGCTTTGCTGGTTGCATTTGAGGTAACGTTACAGGTCATGGGGTTTCTCAGATTTCGCTTGAGACCGGTTTGAGAGCATTATTAGGCTCGATAGTAGTCGTGTCTCCTTCATTGCGTATTTTTATATTTTGAATATATCCCTCCACTGCATACTGTAACCCCTTTTGCCTCGATCTGGAGGATATCGCGGAGGTATTGCTCCAAAAAAGGTCACTGACGCACCTCTTCCCGTCATGGCAATCTGTGGCGCTGGTCGTGTTTGACCATTTGTTTGACGGGCGTAGCAACAATAACTAGGGGGCGTGGCTTTTGCGAACGGTCAATTACGGGCAGTTTCTTTGTAAAACCATTAAAAACACACAAATAAACTCAAGTGAACATGATGAATTATTAATTATTTTCTGATTAGCTACAGAGACTGGAGGGATTATTTACTGTGAACATTTCATCTTTCCCACACCACATGACCACTGAACATTATTAACTGATTAATGAAATGATAATTGCGAGAGGAGTGAGACGTGATGAACACATGAGGACCGGACTCGTGAGGGTTAGCTGTAATCAAACAGAGACTCGTTAGCGCTGACCCCTGATCAGCGGGAGGTTCATTAGCAGGGAGTCTGACCTCCAGCATCAGCAGCTCATTACCAGCACAGATGTGGCGGCGGGTCAAAGGTCACGGCTCCTGACGCCTCTGATCAGTGAAGTAAACACACTAACGAGGGCACTACACAAACAACAACAGTCGCACTCATTTACTGACAGACAATTCTTTGAAATGGATGGAGACATATATATATTTTTTTTTTTGATGGATACAAATATTTTGTTTTAAATAAACACGCTAGATAAGTTCAATTTATTTCAGCGATAATAACTGGACATGTAGAAAACTGCTGTTCGATAGTTTATGGAGATTATTAATGTTCCAAACTACTGTTGAATAATGTTTCACAGCATAAAGTTTACAATATTCTATTGTTGTGGACAGATGTGTGTGTTTAACCGCAGGAAGAGTCTTTCCCACTGGGTGGCGCTAGAGGACCTTCTCATCCAGTTACAGGCCTTTTTGTTCTTCACATACACACACACTTCAACATGCTCACATACTCACACACAGTCTCTCTCTCACACACGCACACAGTCTCTCTCTCTCACACACACACACACACACTCCAACACGCTCACATACATACACACACATTTCAACACTCACACACACACACAATCCAACACGCTCACATACACACGCATCCACTCCAACACGCTCACATACTCTCTCACACACACACAGTCTCTCACACACACACTCCAACACGCTCACACACACTCCAACATGCTCACATACATACACACACACATTCCAACACTCACACACACACAATCCAACACGCTCACATACACTCCCAACACTGACACACACTCCAACACGCTCACATTCTCTCTCACACACACACTCACATACTCACATACATACACATACACTCCAACACACACACACACACACACATACTCCAACACGCTCACACACTCAGTCTCATACACACACTCCAACATGCTCACATACACACACACTCAGACACACACTTTCCAGTAGTAACGTGTGTAAACTTGTCATATTTCAGAAATCTGTGGCTTTATTCTCACTCACCCGCTGTTTCCCTTCACCCTCTTCTGCGCTGTGATTGGCTGGTCCTCCTGATGGGGGCGGAGTCATCACAGCTCATTAGCTCCAGTTCCTGATCACAATCAGTTATTCTGGGAAGAAAGAAGAACCTTCTGACGGAGAGATTCAGATCAGAGCAGTCTCACACACACACAGACACACACTCGCATACACAGACACACTCACCCTCACACACACACACTCACACGCAGACACACACACGCCCGCACACACACTCTCACACACGCCCACACACACACACACTCTCTCTCACACACACAGTTTTTAGTGTTTTTTGTAAAGTTTAATAAAACTTTACTTTTTAAAAACTTTGTAAAAAAATGTCAACATCAAAAAGTATAAAACATCAAATATATCAAACAATATATTATAAACAATATACCAATAAACCATGAAAACTGAATAAAAGTATAAAAAAGAAAACAAATCTAAAGTATCTAAATGTTATAATAAAGCCATTATATAAGATAAAACTCTTACAATGTAAAAAATATCTTAAAAAAGTATCATAAAAAAATGATATCAGTAAGTCATTGTTTTTACTTTCAACCCTTTCATACGAAATTCAATTACATATTTTAAGTCTTAAATTTAAAATAATTTAATATATGACACAATGAAGATCAGCAACTGAACTCAAGCTTTAAGCTGAAATAGTTATTCTTTTTTTTATAATATAAAAAAATATCATAAAATTATCATACAAATATAAAACATAAGTTTATCCGCTGAGTGTTTGCATGTCAATTACAGACAATAAGATCCTATTTAAATATTTGAGTCTTTTGTGACAGTTATTTTTAGAGACTTATAAAAGCAGTTTTTAAAAGAGCAACAATATTCATCATTTAGACTTTAGACTGATGAAGATGATGATGTTTATCAGTAATAATCATCTTCTGGACTGTGGGTCTGCGAGAGTCTGTGCAGCGAATGCTTCACGGTTCCTCTAAACCTCTCCTGATGGACAGACGTGACACGAGCAGGTCTCAGTGGATGATTGTGTCGTTACACGTGTGTGTGTGTGTGTGTGTGTCGCACATGTTCATTACTGCGTTTGAAGTGCAGCAGATCACAGACTGAAGAACCATCTGGGACTAAAACACACAAACAACATCATGTGTGTGTATGTGAGTGTGAGTGAGTGAGTGTGTGTGTGTGTGTGTGTGTGTGTGTGTGTGTGTGTGTGTGTGTGTGTGTGAGAGAGAGAGTTTAACAGGGTCAGTGTACGAGCATCACGTCTTCTGTTACTACACGACCAGTATGGAGCAAAAAAAAAAAAAAAAACAAGAAGTCCATATTATAGTGTGTTTTCTAGGGCACGTCATCTCCTGTCCATGATGGTTGGTCGGCGTATGAGAGGGGGTGTGTGTGTGTGTGTGTGTGTCCTCCTGGACTTCGGTAACAATCACAAGAGTCCGGGAAACAACATCACTGAGCCATTAGTGTAACAACAGTGTTTCAGTCGTTTCTGCAGGACACACACACACTCAAATATGTAAACATCAAAAATATAATAAAATAAACAGAAATATCAAAAAAGAATCATAAAATATATAAAAATATGAGAAGTATCATTCAAACACAACCCTCACCTTCTGGACAGAACTGTAATGCTGGTGGTATTGGTGTTTCTGAAGGTTGTTCCAGAGCGTCTGGAAAACATCAGCGAGTCTGTTATGAGAGCGAGTGTGTGTGTGTGTGTGTGTGTGAGAGAGAGATGGCAGCTCTTTATTTCTGGAGTCTGATTTCTTCTTGGATGCTGCTCGCTTGGCTTGGAAGCGGGACGAGAGAGAAGTGACGGTTTATGTGAGTTGGCCGAGCTCCGATAAACCAACAGAGGAGCGTCTGTGAGCCGAGCGTCTCTTCTGGGTGGGCCAGCGCGTGCAGACAAACATCACACAAACAGACAACAGACAAACATCAGACAAACATCCGACATCAGACAAACAACAGACAAACATCAGACATCAGACATCAGACAAACATCAGACATCAG